TTAAGAACTTTAGGCCGCCTCCTTGCTTCACAGGAGTGCCCAATTCCTCGGTAACAAAACCTGAAATCTGGTTTGATACTGTCGTTGATTTCATGACGCAAACGGGCAGCGATCCCATACTGGGCATGCGATACAACGTTACGGGCAAAGCCGCCGAGTGGTACCACGACTTAGTCGCACGCCAAGGCTCCACGCTCACAATCCAGAGCATGCGTGCCGACTTCTTGTTGCTTTTCGGTGACGTGCACCGTTGCACCCCTCACCACGTACGAACGCAACTTCACGCCGGTGCACACGCAATGAAGCCCGGCGAGTCCATACCGAATTACGTGCAACGGTTCCGCGAAATTACGCGCGGCGACCCTAACATGTCTCAAATTGACTTGTGCACTTGGCTTATTCACGGTATGCCACCGCAACTGCGGCGGGAATGCGCCACGGATGCCAACGGCAATAACTGGTTTGCATTCGATGCTTTAGTTAACTACGCCCAAGGTGCACAAACGCGCCACGAGGCGGGCAAGGCGCAAACGGCGCGACTTAACTTTCTAGGCACTAACGATGCCCCTGCCCATCCCCGACAGAATGGCGGCCGCGGCAACCACACCCAACGGGGTGGATCCGGCAACCGCACCGACCACCGAGGTAGCCGCTATGGCAGTCGCGGTGGCGGTCGAGCTGGCGGTCGCGGTGGCGCCTCTGGCGGACGCGGCCGAGGCGGCAACTTGGAACTGCCGACTTGGGTCCGCGAGATGGCGAAGGAAAAGAATATCTGCTACCACTGCGGAGAGCCCTTCGGCAAGGGCCACCTATGCGGCAAACGGCCGCGTTACAACAACGAGGACCGCAAAAAAGCGGATGCCTAGGAAATTGCCCACGCCGTAGCCTCAGGCAGCTCGTGTGGGGAGCCAATGGACATAGAGGAACCAACCCGGAATCCACCAACGGTGGACTGCAGCCACTGCGTACTTCGCTCAGTATTTTTGCGTCTGCAGAAGGCCTCGGGTCGGGTGTTCGCGATCGACGCATCTTGTAACGTGCGAAGCGACAATTCCCTCTGTCCTATCTTTGCCTGTCCAGACTCGTTCACTTCGCATAATCTTAGTGGACAGCATATCTGGTGCAACGCACCAGCCGATCGCGCGATTCCGTGGCTGAATAACTACAGCACTTTTAAACAGCGCACTCCGGACACAACTAGTGCGGTTATTTTGGTGCCCAAGTGCGCCCACCTAGAAAAGGAATTTCAAACACGCGGTTGGACCCTACTCAAAGAGTTTACAAAAAACTCCAGTATCTTCTCCGAACCTAAACCCGGAGGTGGTCGCACAAGGTCCCCAAACTGCAGCGGCGAGTTTCAAGCATGGCTCGACCCCTGCCAGGAAAAGTCCAAGTGTTCTGCACTAGAACCTCTGACTGAAAACACCGCGCTACTACA